CCAAAGAAGGTTCAACAGGTGACTTACAAAATGTAATTTACATGACGTGAGCCCTAGTAAACAAAATTAAAAAGATATCAACTTGTGTTCGCCTCAATTTTAGTCCTCCATCATGCTACCTACTTTAGTGTGGCTAAAACAATTGTTACTGTATAGCGGGTTATTTTCGAGGATAACAAATTTTGCAAATTTCGCAGATTTTTCAAGATTCGCGAAATTAAATTCCTTGAAAATCAATTTAATATGGTACAAGATGGCAAAATAGGGAAAATTCACAAAATTTAATTCCACGAACTTCCGGATACAGGTCATTCGCAAAATTTATTATTCTCGAAGAAAATCTGCTATACGGTATTACATACAACCTAATAAAAAGATAATAAAGGAGGAATTTAGATTTAAAAAAAAGAAATGGAAGGAAAATATGAATGGATCATGAGAAAACTGTGAGAAAGAGGAATTACAGTGATAATGATAAAGCCGATAACATACAACTCACATAACAACAGTTTTACCACTGAAATATTATACAAAAAGAGTAGTAATAAAAATAATAATACAATAGACAAACAAGATTAATGTGGAACAACTGACAAAGTTAAATAAATTGTACATGTAGCTTAAAGGTAGAGATGAGACAACAACGATGATGACTGATGTGTATTCATTAAATAGTTACATGTACTGATAATGTGCAAACTTGTGGTTACAAGTTAATAAATAATTAATAATTCTAACTACCACAACTATAATATTTGTCCCCATTCTTGTCTGTGAACCCCTTTAAAAATAGCATCAAATTACTACACCACTTTTAAAAATTAAGTGCTTTCACAAAAATAATGTAAATTAGGAGGACTTCCTGTTGAACACTGTACATTATACATTTACAAGCACATATTGTCATAATAATATGTTGCAGAGATGCACAAAGTTAGTGGGTGGAGTAAGAACAGTTTCTTACCTCTGCAGTTAAAATTCTGAAGATCCTTTCAGTTCTAATTTCTATTCTTGCATTAAGAATGGCTTCTTCTTTAACTGTTATCTGTAAACAGACAATGTAATAGACACTGTACAGCATGAACATACATGTATATGTACTTTAGCAGCAAAACACATACATTTTAATGTGTACATGTATGCAGTGGAAAGCATATAAGTTTTTCTAATTGGTTCTATTAAAATAACAGAAAAATACACATGTACATGTATAATGTACACATGCCAATTACATTAAGTGCATGTACAACATGAACACATATACAATAAATACAATGTACAAATAGAAAAGCTCATTATTATAAGAGCTACACGCATGTTCAAAGTTGTGAAAATTGGGTCACAAATGCAAGTACATGTAAATGTATACATAGGGCCAAAATAGTCAATAATTCATAGTAACAATGTCAATTGTGATACTTTTTAATAAAATTGAAGCAAAAATCAATCAATCATGTGGCACAAAATAATGAGTAAAATTGAGCCAAATAATTTAAGACAAAAATTCCTTACAAATAAAAATCATAATACAAAACCAATAATAATAATACTAAACTAATGGATGACTCTGCCTATGACAGCATACATGTAGATATTAGAGGAAATGAAACATTTCCTTGGGTAAAAGTCCTTAGTGATGAAGTAAATTTGTATGGGGATAAAGTCAGCTAACTATTATTAAAGTTAAATAGTCTAATCTTCTTTGAAAGTGGGTGCAGTCACAATGAAATAAAATGGTGCCTACCAGCAAGTCTGTGCTCATTTGCAGCAAATGGTAAACTGCTATCCTTAAAACTGCTCCTTAATCACTTAGGCCAACATGTAATTAAAGTTAATAACCATAAACATACCGTATTTACTGATTAAATGCCCGGGCATTTATTTCTTAGCAGTAAGAAAAATTTCATTGAAAAAAAATAAAAGATACTACGAGCGGGACAGACCCCCAACTCTGAGCAAGTTAGTCAAGGCTCTAACTGAGAAGCACTCCCGAGCTATCTAAACAGTAGGGCATTATTTTTGGTAGAAATATGCGTATCTATAGCTAGAATATATTAATGACAGGCGTTTATATCGTAAAATATGGTACATTATGTACATGTAATATTCTAATCAATAGTATTGTAGACCAGCTTGGGTCAAATACAAATAGTATTTGTAATTAGTCGTATTTAAATACTTTTAAAAGTATTTGTATTTGTATTTGTAATTTGAGTTTTTGTAACAGGAAGTATTTGTATTTACACTAGAACAAAAAAATTTAAAAAATTATTTAGTGTAGGGTTGAGCCTCTGTTGGATTTGAACCTATAAAATGAATTCAAACAAGCCCCTGTAGGGTTGCTGGTTTGAAAGTATAAAGTGAATTCAAACAAGCCCCTGTAGGGTTGCATCACCATTGAAACACCAACATGTCAACCCTACACTGCAGGTATAATTGTCCAATCATCATCATTACTTTAAACTTAATTAAGGCATGTACAAAATTTACCATAATACTCATTCAATCATTTAATTACCACATTGGCATTGATAGCAATACTCATCAGTGCTGCTATAGGCTATTTCATACCTGCA